AGAATGGGTAAACAAACTTCTTTTTCTTTACTGTGTATCATAATTACTTTTTCAGCTGAATGGGGTAAAGATCTATGATGGACCTGCTTGGGCATATATGTACTTTTTAAAACAGTTTTTGTTTCTGTGGGAACTTGTATTCAAGCTACAGACCACTCACACAAAGAACTGGGTTGGGTTCTGCCAAAGCATTGTTAGAATGATTTTTCTGCCTATTTCATGTGTAGCATTCCTTCGACATAGGACTGTTTCTCTTTTGCGTTCTTATGGATCTTCTTCGAACTTTGGATTCATGAGTAAAGGAGCTTGCTAGTTCCTTTTTTTGGGAACTTTTTACCTCTGTCACTCATGATAGTTTTGCCGTAAATGGAAGTCTGTTCTCAAAAAGGAAGAAATTGGGTTTATATATTAGTTTTATTTATTTATTAACCATTTACATCATTTAAATTATTAGATTTAAAGACTTATTACAGTCTTTAACACAATCTAATCCCCCTCTTACTGAGAGAAAAGTATATATTGTTTAGCATTAAGGAGAAATTTTTTTTCTTTTTCTTTACTCCCATCTCTTTGACTGTCACAGCTTTGGGTTTTAATCTTGTTTTGTAAAGCCAAGAATACTGAATTCATATCCAGGCTTATTAAATTCGTAGGTGTGATTTGCTGACAAAAGAATTTCGTTTTACTTTCCCTAGCCTTATTTTGCCGTTCCAGTCATACGTTTTAGTTGGTATAAAATCTAGCCTTTTGTTCCCCCCTCCTATGCTCAGTGTAAAAGACATCAGCTTTTCCTTCCTTTTTTTCTATCCATGAATAGTGTGCCATTTGGAAGAGGCAGACCTCTGTATTGGGTTGGCACACCACGTGAAGCAGCGCGGTTTGGGCAAGTTGCTTAACTTGTTAACTGACATGAGTTTGCTTTATCTAATTCTTATTTATAGGATGAGGTACATTTGACAACAAAAGCAAAGGAACTTTCTCCTCTCCAAATGAGATCTCAAGTCATTTCCTATCATACACATACATATGCTAAGGGAGCAGGTTAAAAATCATTTAAGATTCTCAGCTCTTATTTTGCTTTGAAAAACACTTAATTAATCTTGTTAAATATCACCTTCATGATCATAATCATAACCTTAAGGGAAAGAGTGCCTTTTCCTTTGGCCCATTTGCTCACGGTAGGCGATCTTCTTAGTGCTGAGTATTTTCTTTCAGCCTAAATGCTAAAAATTCAGTACACAGTCATTAATAGGGATGACAGCTACAGTAGCATTCTACTTATGAATATTCATGAAATGAAATCCATAGCATTAATTACATTAATTTACATACCTGAATACAAGCGAACCATAAGTTATAGTGATAGCTAAGCCTAAAAAAACCCTTTAGTAACCATAGATATATATTTTTATATGTATGTTTTTAAAATAAATTCTGTGTAAGAAGAGTGGAGGCGACATTTCTTTCAAAAGACCTTTGAGTATTTATAGTTAGAGATGCTTTTAGCTGAGAATTAAAGCACAATGTAATCCTTCAGTTTTCATAGGATTTTGTAGGGCTTATACGCATTCTTTAAAGGAAGAGAGTATAAAGAAAATATATGTAGTTGAACACAGGAGAAATCTTCTATGTGAATAAGGGAATTAGTGGTTACTTTATTCTTATTTGGGATCATAACCCTTTTATCCTGTTAGTTTTAATTCAACATATTCTTTTGAAAGTAGACATGATTGAAAATAATTCATAATCTATGAGAATGAGGTTTATTTTCACCTGGTTTTGTGATTGAAAAACTCCAGTTTCAGAAAAAAGTTTTATCTGCATGTTTTTAGAAGTTAAAAACATTTTGCTACATGTTTAATAGCATAACAGTGACATTGATTTTAAAAGATTTTTAAGTCTATGCAGAATGCCATAGTTTAAATTGCTTCAGAATATGTGATGTTAAACATCGTCTTTACCTTGAAGATACAGATCGTGTTTGTTTTCAACTATGTTGTCTTTGAAGCAGAGTTATCACAATTAGCTGGTTAACCTCAGTGTGTTCAATTAACATTTAAAAAACTAACTGAAGCATATGCAGGCAATATAGTACCTTAAAATGATACCACAACGGTTTTTTCATTAATGAATGAAAAATAAAATTTAAAAAAATCATTTCATTTCATCTCATTCTTTTATGATTTCTATTTATGTACCTGTTTAAAAATGTATATTATATGTAATTTTATAATATTTATTACTTAGATTTGTATGTGTATAATTAGTACAGTGAAACATGCATATAATTTATAAATGAAATCATATATTGGGGTTAGATGCTTAAAATCTTTGCTTGGCAGGAGTGTTCACTCATAAACAGTAGTTGGAGACTGTTGACTTAAGAATGAGTCTTATGAGAATGCAGAGGAGTGACCAGGGCCATCGCTCTGCTTATTCCCTGTTTCACGGTGAGACCTTTAGCACGTCACCTGTCCTGTCCATAGTATAGCCATCTTACCTTTGTATGCACAGGGGACCGACTGACAAAATAGGACAGTGTGGTCTCACTGTGGGTAGAAATTGCTGAGAGTCAGCGTTCTGATGGTCTCACAAGGGAGTTTATTTACGGAAGATTGAAAAGCATTGGCCCCCTGTGGGCTGCATTAGGGCGCAGGTTCTGAGTGCTTGGTGAGGTACTTTCACCCTTTGGAAGACAGCAAATCCCTAAACAGTCTAAAATTAGTATTATTAGTATAGTAATAAACAGAACAAAAAGTAGTTATCCTTTTGGATGGCACATTTCTTGCTGCTCTGTGAATGAATCAAAATTAGGCTTATACTCAAGGTTTTGTTAAAATAGCCTGCTTTTTCCCTTATTAGATTTCAAATAAAAGTATCAATCTCAAATTATTAATCGCTCACTTTTGTTACAGCATGTAAATCAGACATAATGGATGGCTATGCAGTTGCTTGGGCTAACTTGATAGGAAAAATGTATTCCCTGCAAGACTATGATTATGTCCTACTATGTGTAATTTTCCACCTTTTTTATGATGGTTTCTCCTGTGTACTAAATTCAGTTTTGGATATAATAGATGTATATTTTCACCTAAATTGGTATATTGGGATAGTTGAGATTTATAAAGTATGGTAGTGATATTATTTGAACTAATTGCCGGATTTTCCATGGGTTTCATCTTGACTTTTCATTAAACATTACTTACTTTCATTTTTACTGTGCAATTTATTGAACCACAACACTCTGGTAAGCATAATGAGCTTTTAAAAGATCTCTGTCTACAGAGATCACAATCAAACATTAAATATTTAGATATCAGATGCTTTGGTTAAAACAGAAATGATACTTATTGTGGTGCAAAATTTACAAAACAGGAAGGCAGATAAAATATTTCAATAGGCTGCTTTCCAACTTGTTTGTTAATATCTGGCTTTGCCATATTTAGTTTGGTTAATTGAGCTTTGAAGAGATTGTACAAATGAAAGCAAATCAGAGTAGACTAGCTTACTTTTTTTCCTTCTTTCAGACTTTAGGCATAGATTCCCTCTCCATTAAATTATTCTGAGAGTATCTAAACTTTTTATTATGCTGGTTTTTTTGTTTGTTTGTTATGAGGAAGATTAGCCCTGAGCTAACATCTGCTGCCAATCCTCCTCTTTTTGCTGAGGAAGACTGGCCCTGAGCTAACATCCATGTCAATCTTCCTCTACTTTATATATGGGATGCCTGCCACAGCATGGCGTGCCAAGCGGTGCCATGTCCGCCCCCAGGATCCGAACTGGCGAACCCCGGGCCGCTGAAGCAGACCCTGCGCACTTAACCAGTGCATCACCAGGCCAGCCCCTATGCTGTTTTTAAAAAGCTCATTCCTAGTTAATATTTTTCAACTTTCCTTTATGGTAAAGTCAATATTTTATTCCTCCATTTTGGACTGTTTATGTAGCATAATTGCTATTTTTGGGATGAAAATATTAAAGATCAAGACCGACACACTAATAGAGATAAATTATTTCAGATCCTTTATGCTGTGGGATACCTATGAAATAACATTCTGAATCAGAGTAGGATTTTCCTCTTTGCTTTCTTATCGTCATGGATTTTATATTAGAACTATAAATGTGGCTAGGACAGTGGTTCTCGACCTAACTGCCGTGCAGAATGATTTGAAGCCTTTTAAAAATGTATAAGCCCCAGTCCGCAGGGATTTATTTTTTTAAAGCCCCTCAATTGTTTTCTTTGCACAGGTAGAGCTGGGGAATACATAGATGTAGGAGAGCAAATGCTCGATAGCACCAGTCACAGATACTAGCGATAACCTCGGTGGTTGAGCTGCAAAGCCAGAAATAAGGGAGCACAGGCTCTGAACCCTTGAAATAGTAGTTATTGAAGTCTTTCACCTTAGCCCAAAAGAGAAGCCCTTGATTTTGCTTTACATATAATCCTAACAATCCTAGTTATGTGATTTTCCCAGCCCTGACAGATGAGAGGCAGCAAAATCAAAGTAGAAGGCTGTTGGTGAAAGAAGTAATAGCTGTCGAGCGTGGGGAAATAGCACAAACAGCTGCATTAGATCTTGGTGCAGTAACTGATGGACGTAGGAATATGGTGACCTGCAGTCGTTAGATATGGTAGATGATGATCAACGTTCTCTGATTTAGGAATGAAGATAGTTTTTGTACATTTTAGAGATATTTTTAAATTTTTAGTTGGTTAACGTAAAGAAGGGGGAAAGATTTTATATCTAAATGTTTATTTACCTGAAAGATTCATTTCTGTAGAATAATAGTGTCTTCCTCAATAGTAGCAGATAAATGAGGCATTAATAGGCTTGGAAAAAAGTGAAGGGAGAAAAGCTACTGTATCTGTTTGGCTGGATATGGTTTTTAAATGCTAATAATAGAGGTATCTATTTTAAAACCTGAAAATAGCTGACTTGTGGCTTTCTTCATTTGCTCTATGCTTTTACAAAATTTTTTGCATGTTTTCCTCCTCCCCACAGCAATCTCACGGTTTAGGCAGGACTGTCTGGCTCCAGATTGCCGAGTCCGCTTACAGATTCACTCTGGGCTCAGTTGCTGGAGGTGAGTGACATGTCTGTGTGCTGTTTCAAGCTTGTGTTAATGTAATATTATCTCACTAGACTGGGACAGATCAGCAAAGGTGCAGTTCATTGTTCCCGCGGGTCACGCCTGCGGCACTTTCTGAAGTGTTCTTTATGTTTTACCTGTGATCAGAAGACTTGTCACAGCACGGCCATGGCCTCTCTGGCTCCAGTCTGTCTTCAGGACAAAAGCTCTGTAATAATGTGGAAGTCTTGGCTGCAGTGCCGCACTCACCTTAATTATGCTGGTTAGAGCCGGTGGAAGAAATGGAGACTAAGGCTGTGTTTATGGTTTTGGGGATGAGGCAGGTAGGAAATCAAGATTTGGGGTACAAATTCCAGAACCTTATGAAATAAAACAACCTCTCAAAGCAATTCACTTTTGCTTTTCTGCTTCTATTTTTTTCCTCTCCTCTTTTACTGGTTAAGACTATCTAAACTTATAGTTTATTTGCTAAAATGAACCTCCCCTCCCTGTTCCTAGGCAAAGTTTGAGAGACTTTTTTTGCTTCAATCTCTCTATAGAAGATGTGTAGAATCTGAAGTTGCTTTGTTGAGAAGAACCCCACAGGTGTGATTAAAATACTTAGGATTTTTCAAAACAAGCCTGGACTGATGAAACTATCACTTTTTTCTTTTTAGTCTCAGTTTTAGAAGTTGCAAAGCTTATTTTGGTTTTCAACAGTTGAAAAATATAATACTCTACTTCGTGTTAGAAACTTCTCAGTCCCTGAGAAATTCTAAAGCCTGTCCTTTTGGGTTTTTTTTAAACCAAATTCTGTACATAGGGATAGGGTCATGTTGAGATTTGGTTCCAATATTGTGGTTTCAAACTAAGATTAATTTATGAAAATAATTTGGCAAACTAAATTTTAAGATTACAGCCACCTACGTATACATATATAGTCATTTTAAGGGGTAACTGTATAATATTTAAGCATTTAATGGGAAATATTTAGAAATATGTTTTACATATAATAGTTTAATGTTACAGAAAATTGAGTGTTGATTGTGTAATGTTGGTGATGACTTGAAAATCCGCCGCAGTTCTTCTCTGAAGCAGCTGTATTTATGGATCCCAATGGCTGCAAGCCTGTCATCCTTGAGCTGCGTATGGGAGAAGGAAAAATAACACAGTCTCTTTCGTGAGGATAGATGTTGTGTTTTATTTTCTAGTCCTTCGAGATGAGATTTGTTGTCCTTATAGATTCTCCCTTTAACCATGCTCTCTTTGAACCCTTAAAATTGTTTTCTTTGTAGCTGTGGGGGCCACTGCGGTGTACCCTATAGATCTGGTGAAGACCCGCATGCAAAACCAGCGTGGCAGTGGCTCTGTCGTGGGGGAGCTGATGTACAAAAACAGCTTTGACTGTTTCAAGAAAGTCTTGCGTTATGAGGGCTTCTTTGGACTCTACCGAGGTGAGTAAGCAAATCTCAGCTGCTGAAGTTAGTGGTTTTATCTCACCAGCGGCAGATTTCAACTCGCATATTATGAAAATCAGTGTGTACCCTGCCCGGTCAGACTAGGGCTGTTTCTCTCTTTTTATTTTCTGATTGCTCGTTTCCCTTTTTACATTCTTGCTGGTAACTAGCACTATTAGTCTGAAGACAAGGTCTTCATTTCTTCTTCCTGCTATTTATATTTCTTGGAATTCAAATCCTGCGTGTGTCCCAACATGGGTCTCTGGTCACCGTGCTCTTACAAACTAAGGTGCACGTCTGCAGGTGGAATACGAGGACGGCAGCTAAAAAATAGAGAGCTTCTTTTCTCAAAGAATTAGAGAGGAGGAAAACACCCCTTCTCTGTGAAATAGAAGCCAGGGTGCCACTGGAAGGTGAGTTTACTCTCTTATCCACTTGTTTCAACTGGAAGAAATAGCGAATGTTTTTCTCTCTTCCAGATTCATAAGTCTTTTCCAGTGAGTCATCTGAAGTTTACAAAAAAAGAAAACCTTTTGGCTCCAAGTCTCATTCCTGCCCCTTTCCTCCCCTTGGTTCAGAGGCTCTGAGTGAAAGCAGAGAGCTTTTCTTCTGCAGGGAGTGTTAGCACCAGCTCTAGGCTGAGCACAGCGCTGTCGGCGTCAGAGGCAGTGGCCCCGTGCAGAATTCTCCCCACCCCCGTTGGCTTTGTAGGAACTTGTTCTCTTTGGAGGGAGAATGACTTTCATGTAGATGTTTTCACATTAGAATTTAGGGTTTCCTTTGGGAGGGAGATTAATTTTTTAATCTCTTTGGGCGCCACTTGGAATTCTTTGAAAATACTCTCTACATACTCAAGTCCAGGGCATTTATGTAATTTACTGTACTTGTTTGTTTGCACACACGGTCTCATTAATCCCAAGCTCATTCTGAGCTCTGTTGAACTATTTGGCTTAGTACCTCTTCCTTAGAGAGAAAGACTGGTCCTGAACAAAGCTTTATGCTCATGGACCGGAGAAAAAACACCTCTGGTTAGCATTATGTGCAGATATTCAAGTGAGAAATGTAGCTCTGATACACTTAGATTTGAAGGAGAGGGTCATGAGGAGGTTTATGTTTGGCATTATGTATAGTATAAGAGAAGAGAGTGGTTCTGAAATCAAACTAGGCTCAAATACTCAGCTCCTAAGAATGATTGTAATTAATTTTGCTGAAATATTCAGAGCTCTAGTCTCTCTAAATTCTAGCTGTACAGTGTGTTCTCCATGGGAAGAAGTGTGCATTGTCCCGAATGTAGATTGTCACGTGAATGCTTGTTTTAAACTGCATTAAACTCTGCATATCTAGATTTTATTTAATAGGGAATCTAAGAGTCGAGTGGTGCTAAGGTCATTTTTTGTGTGTTTGTTTGACATCTCCAATCTTTTTTTGTCGAATGATGACTTTTCTTCCTCCTTGATTTACTTTTAAAGAGAATGACCTCTATTAGAAGGAACCTAGATATATACTGCACAGTTTATTTAGCCTTCTCAATGGATGGATGTTTACAGAAGATTTCATTTGGGAGAGATGTCATGTTAATTAAATGGGTCCAATATAGCAAGTTGGGGGCGGAGGTGAGGAGACAGAGGGATTGCTACCTTTATTCAGGATGTGAGCTGATAAAATCAGTCCTTTAGATGAGAGACTCTTGTATTAGGGAAAGGATTGTAGGAGTCCTATATGTGAACACTGTGATTATTGATATTGTCATATATTGCTTAGAACTGGTCCATTATTCTGTCAGTTGATTGACAAAATTGTTGACAGATTAGCCTAAATTTCTTTGCAGGAAACAATGGTAAAATGACGTAAATCAGTACTTTATTAAAATTCTATGTGCCTTATTGAGGCAAGTTGTAAAACAAATACGCATGCTGACATGGTTGTATGGGAGTTAGAGTAAAAGTAATAGGGTCTGATAATCATGAGGGTTAGCAAGTTAAGACTGCCATCTGCTGATTTCTTCTTTTAAATCAGTCTGCTACCCATTAAGGTGTGTGCGGATTTGTTTGTCATTGATAATTCAGTTTGACTGACAGTAGCCTGTATGTACGATTACTTGCTGGCTCTCAACTCATAGAAAATCACTCAGCAGTATCCTCAAAGCAGGCTTAAGATCAGCAGTGAGCGTGCAAACACATACATAGCTCCCCCTTGGCTGGGTGATTTAAAGGATAGAAAGTGTTTATTGTTAGCATCTTTAAAAAATGTACGCAAGAAATGTATGCTAACAATTTGGATAATCTGTGTGCTTTAGAAAGCTGAGCCCTATGAATATCTACAGATGTTGAATTGTTTATATGTTTTTTTCTTTTCCAGTTTGCAGCCAGCCTGGGAAATTTAACTTTCTAAGAATAATGATTTCCTTTGTTTTAAGAGGATTCTTTTGAAATGTCTTAAGTTTGACATATATTAGTAAATAATACAATAAGCATATGTTTTTGCTTGTAGAAGATACCCATTAAATGATACTTAAAACTGCATTTTTCTTGGAGTTTTGGCTTCCTTTTAAATAAATGAGTGCTGAATTCTGAGTTTCTCTAAAGAGAAAATTATGGGAGCTAGTAATCTGTAATAACCAAGCTACTGTATGCTGTTACATAGGTAGCATCATTTGTGGCAAAATCTGGGTCTCCTTTACAGCATGCTTTGCAGAACTTTTCCAAGCATATAACCTTGACTTCTTTAAAGTGTCTGTGTATATTTGTATGTTGTTGGTTGTAAAGAGAGGGAATTTGGTTACGTTGTTATTGGCAGTGTTCCTGGAGTAGAGAAGATCCATGGGCTCCATTCCTTCCTCACGTACTTTTTGGGAGGTGTTAGATAACTAGGCTTTAAAGGAAGCGTGCTTAAGAAAAGGATTTATAGCCTCAAGAAAGCATAACATTATATTTGACATAAATAATTATTACATACATATACAGAGTTTTGGGGGTAATCCATTTTTTCCCATTTTAATGAAAACCCTAAAATGTTTGATGGGTAAATAATATGGGAAAAACCGTTCCTCGTTGGGCTTGTATCTTCATGTCTAGTGCATCTCTATTGCTAACAATTCTCTCTGTTTACCTAGGTCTGATACCACAACTTATAGGGGTTGCTCCAGAAAAGGCCATTAAACTGACTGTAAGTTTCTTTCTCATTGAATTTATGTCATTGGTTTAGATTATCATTAAGCCAAAAATTAAAACTGATGCTGCTGAGACTGGCCCACTGTCAAGGCATTTGTAAAATTTGAAATTTATATGGAGACTTTTGATAATTTTAAATTTTATAATGAGACAAATATTTTCCTGACTTGGAAAACTAATAATGTGCCAGTAGAGGAAATGGTTGGGAATTATGGTTAACTGATGTTGTCTTTCTAATTAGGTTAACGATTTTGTCCGGGACAAATTTACCAGAAGAGATGGCTCCATTCCACTTTTAGCAGAAATTCTTGCTGGAGGTTGTGTAAGTATTAATTCTGGGCATGTCTTGTGGCAAATAGGTTCTTTTAACCTTCTTACACATTAGATATAATATGTGAGTGACATTCTCCCTGAACTCAAAGGATTCTAAGCAGATTTTCTCAGTGATCATATGGAATGATTTTTTAATTTCATCGCATCATCTAACTGGTTCTGAGTGCAGAAAAGAAGTGGTGTTTTTGTCAGCTTGGTCTCTTAGAAGCTCCTGATGCATTATCTTCCACAGTTTTTAAAGTTCTAATTCTGATTCTTCTTAAATAGCACGGAAAATAGAGTAGTGAGTAGAGTTACCATACCCTTATACTGACTGGAACTTTAAAATAAGTGTGAGATGACTGATTAATTTGGCCCTTATATTTTAGGTGTAGGACTGAGTAAACCATTGTGTTATAATTATAATTTTCCTTCTTTAGGGACCAGGATATAGCAAAGAACCATAACTATGTTGAGGCTGTTGACAATCCTGAACGCATTCAGATTATATTTATTTAGAGCACAAGGGTTTCTATCTTTAAAGTGTGAGCATGACATTGGATTTAGACCAATTCTCAAATCTAAGTGTGCAGCTCAACTAATTTTACTTGTGGTGTTCATTTCACATTTGGTAATACATGATTTGTTTTAGACTTATTTAGTCGGTTTTGTCCCTGAAAGCCTTAATAACTTCCAGTTGAATTGGCTGACAGTCTTGGCTAAACCCTCCTCAGTTGCTTGTGGAACCTGAGGTGATGAGGTCGATGACCTTTGCGGCTTTTAATTCAGAGAAGATGCCCTGAGGGTCAGAGAGAGAGGCTGCTCTGGATTCTCCTTGATGAGATTTGTCAGCCTGGCGCATACCTGGGTCCTCACCTTTCTGCAACCAAAGTTCTTATGGAAGAGGTGGCTAGGGGTGTGTGTGTGTGCACGTGCTTTTTGCATGTGTGCCTGCATGCCCCCAAGTGCATTCTCAGGAGGAAAACTCACCTCTTTGGCTGGCTTTTTTTTCATGAAGGACAAATAATGGACATAGAATAAAACCTTTGCTTAGGCAGATCACCAAAAATATAGTTTCTCCTCTTCCTCTACCCCAATTAGTTGCTGTAATTGTTTCCCTTCTAATGAGAGAATCTTTGCAAATCGTAACTATTCTTTTTCTCACTGGTTTTAGTTTCAGTTTGGTTAAGAAGTTTCCTGATTCGGTTTTGCCACAGCACATACATACATTTGCCAAAAATTTCCTAAGTCATGCTCTTTCTGTTCCATGTAGCTAATTATTTCTGTTTCCATTTGTATCATCCACAGGTTTTTGCCCATGAAACTGACCTGTCCCATGTCTCACAGGTGACCCTAGTGGTTAAACCATAATCAGATATCTGGTTCCTTTGTTCTTCGTAGTTATGGGCCCTGTTTCTAGGTTTGAACTTTGGGAAGTTCTTTTGAAGTCTGGGGTGCCTTAAGGGTTGTACTGACACTCCAAATCTCTTCCTTAATCATGACTCATTTCTGGGACTTTGATGGATTGTCTGCACGGAAGTTGACAGCATGAAGGATAGTCAGGTTGGGCTCTCGGCAGAATGATTAGCTTGTCTGCAGTTCTTCACCTCGAACATTTTCTGCTTCCCTCTTCCCTCTAACCCTCTTCATTCAGGGAGGAAAGAAAATGTGCAATTATTGAGTTTCTGTTGGTGAACTCAATCACGCTGCAGCGTAAATGATCGTTAGAGCTTAATCTACTGCTTCTTCCAAAGTCTGTGTCTTTCAACGGAGAATAAAGTCTTACACAAAATGGATGAGTCTCTACTTGTAGACTGTCAGGCGTTCTGGAATATAGGAATACTCTCTTTACTGAATGAAACCTGGTAAGCAGCCACCGGATAGACACTGGGAAGAGTGGCTGCCATGAGCCTGATCATGAGAACCCTCGCCATCCTGGGTAGTGGTGGTGATATTATGTGCAGTGTCCCTGTGGGTGTTTGGCTGAATGCTGTCAGTGCCGCTAGGTGAGAAGAGTGCTGCTGTTCTTCCCCAAATCACTCCGTTTTAAAGATGTACTTAATGTACTAACCTAATGCAGGTTAGTTCAGAGGAAATGGCTCAAACTGAGCCGTCAGTATTGGCTTTATAGGTTTTTTCCCCAGCAGAGGGAGCACCTAGGACCCGGGCCTTGAGTTGCCTCTATAAGGGAGGGAAATTCTACTGCTATGACAATGACCATGCTGCCTTTAGGAAAAATGGTATGCATTGATTAGATCATGAAGTGACCAAGAAATAAAAATATCCACTCCTTAGACATTATATGTTTTTCTTTGTTGTTTGTTTTGTTTTATGATCCAATTCTAAAAGTATGTGATGTTTGATATGTGCAAAAGAGTATACTCTATATAGCTATAAAGAGTAATAATAAAATGAGCATCTGTGAACCTACCACTCAACTTAGCTAAAATATTAGCGCTATCATTGACACTGATTTTTGCTTTTAATGTAGCTCTAATCTACTAGATTGCTAATGAGCAGTAGGAGCTTTTCCTACTGGGCTGAACATTTTATAGGCATTATCTCATTATTATTCTCAACTAGTGTTAAAGAAAATAAAACTTCAGTGAGATCCCACACTTAGTAAATGACCAAGTTGAGATTCCAACACTTGGGCTTCAAATCCATATTTATTCATGTTCGGTATGTGTCCTTCCATTCATTCTTTCATTTATTCGTTCTCATTGAACAAGTTGTCAAGGCTGAGAAGGATTTAGAGTTTTTTTCTTCTGTGCAGAGAACCAGACTTAGGATATGTTTCTATCTCATAGAAAAAGGGTAGTTCCTTATCATGCTCACCAGATAAAACTTAATCTTAAATCTAATCATATTCCACTGTGGTAATTTGAAAGTAGAATTTTTTATCATGATTTGCTTCATTTTACATATCACCAAAGAAAATATGTGCTTATGATTATAATTCATCATAATAGCTACCATTTCTTGAGCATCTTGCACTGGATTGAACACTTTATAGGCATTATCTCATTATTATTCCCAGCTAGAGTTGAAGAAACTAAAAGCTCAGTGAAATCCAGCACTTAGTAAATGGAAAAATTGAGATTCAAACCACTTCTGTCTCCAAATCCGTATTCTCTTATATTTGGTCTATGTTCCCATTCTTTCATTCTTTGATTTATTCATTCTCTCATTCATTGAATGCCTGCTATGTTTCAGGAAAATTTTTAGAATAAAATTGAGATATAATTCACATACCATACAATTCCCCCCATTTAAAGTGTACAATTCAGTATTTTTTAGTATATTCATAGAGTTGTGTGACTATCATCACAATCAATTTTAGACTATTTTTATCACCCAAAAAGAAAGCTGGTACCCTGTGGCTGTTGCCCCCCAGCCTTCCCTCTCTCCTCCCAGGAGGGCTTGGACAACCACCAATAAACATTCCATCTCCATAGATTCACCAATTCTGGAGATTTCATGCAAATGGAATCGTACACTATGTGGCCTCTTGTGTCTGCCTTCTTTCACTCAGCATAGTGTGTTCAAGGTTCATCCATGTTGTAGCGTGTATCAGTACTGCAGGCCTTATTGCTGAACAATATTCCTTATATAGATACATCACATTTTGTCTGTCCATTCATTTGTTGTTGAACCTTTGGGTTGTTTTCCACTATTATGAATAATACTGCTGTGAATATTCATGTAAAAAGTTTTGTGTGGACAAATGCTTTCATTTCTCTTGGGTATATACCTAGGTGTGGAATTGGTGAGTCATATGGTAACTCTAATTAGTATTTTGAGGAACTGACAGACTGTTTTCCAAAGTGTCTGCACTATTTTACATTCCTACCAGCAGTGTATGAGGGTTCTGATTTCTCCACATCCTTGTCAACAGTTGTGATTATCTGTCTTTTCATTATACCCATCCTAGTGGGTGTAAAGTGGTATCTTATTGTGATCTAACAACTGGTGGTATTGAGCTTCTTTTTATGAATGTATTGGCATTTGTATATCTTCTTTGGAGAAAAGTCCATCAGAATCTCTCCTCCCCTTTTTTTTCCCTTGAGGAAGATTAGCCCTGACCTAACATCTGTGCCAGTCCTCCTCTATTTTGTATGTGGGTCACTGCTACAGCATGACTGATGAGTGATGTAGGTCCACGTCTGGGATCCAAACCCGCAAACCTGGGCCGCTGAAGCGGAGCGTGCTAAACTCAACTACTATACCACAGGGCTGGCTCCTGCCCATTTTTAAATTGGATTATTTGTCTTTTATTATTGAGTTACAAGAGTTCTTTATATATTTAGAGTCTCTTATCAGATATGTGATTTACAAATATTTTCACTTTCTTAACTGTGTCCTTGAAAGAATTGGACTTTGATTTTAATGAAGTCCAATTTATCTATGTTTTCTTTTGTTGTTTGTGCTTTTGGTGTCATATCTAAGAAATCATTGCCTAATCCAAGATCGCAAATATTTATACTTCTGTTTTCTTCTAAGAGTTTTATAGTTTTAGCTCTTAGACATTTAGGTCTTTGACCTTTCACAAAAATTTTTAAGTTAAATTTTTTAGGGTCATTTCCCTTGAACAGATATATTACCAAATAACAGTTTTGTTTTCCATTGTCAACATTTTTGTATATTACCTTCTAACGTTTTCATGCGCATGTGCACATGCTCATGTGCATATATAGGTACAGACACACGTACATTCTTTTTTAAACCAGATGGAAGTTTTATTGACTCTGACTTCTTGATTGGAAATGCAAGCAGCTCTCACTTTCTAAGGGCAGCAGGGAATCACAGTGGAACTTTTCACTTTAGAAATAGAGTATAACTTTTGGAAATATAAGTATAAACAGAGTGTGCGTTTTCAAATTTTACATCTCCATTGTGAACATTACCCCAATTTTTTTATATTTATATCAAAACCTTCTCAAAAAAGACTTACTAGTTCAGAATTTTTGATAATTTAGATGTGCTAGCATAAGTTTTTTTGTTGTAGTA